CTCCACCTACATGGACTGATGCAAAATTGTTAGAGCATCCATATCAGCCATGGATAGCTGCAAAGAGCCATAGGGGCTCCCCCCAGAAAATGCAGAAAATACTACATTGAATATATAAACACAGTAATGGTGCATGTATTAATTAGTCTAGGTGATTGCAAGACAGAGCAAAATGCACCACAATCAATTAACCAGATATGAAATTATTTAAGGCACTCGGTGACCAGGAATTACAAGAGATTAAATCACATTTTACTATCCAGAATTATTTCATCTTGGGTCTCAGCACTTCACTATATTACAAGATACAGTACAGGAATTATGACTGCCAAATAAGAATAAAACCCATTGTAATGACCAGACAAGTAGGCCAATCCTCCCATTTCATCTTCCCCTTTCTCCCCTATGCTTTATATTCATACACACGACTTTTCTTAAATTCATGGAGGGGGGGGAGTTGTAATGGTCAAAGAAGTACTCCTCTTCCCCCTTTTCATCTCCCCTCTCCCCGTTCTTCCTACTCTCTCTCTTCTCTCCCTCTAGACTGCTGGAGGTAGATTAGTCACACCCACCTGGGTATAATAAATTCTGGGTCACAAGTTTCCTCTTGTACTGTGAGGTTACATAGTGCCTTCCACTGTTCTCCGTAGACCTTGGTGGCATCCAGTTTTTGGTGAGAAAACTATTCCTCTGGAGTCTTTAAAGTTGCTCATTGAAAAAGGGCTAGGCATGACTTGTCACTGGCTGAAAGTGCCAGGACCTTAGGCCTGGTTTCCGCTGATTGAATGTAGGTCTAGAGAAGGGCGGAGTTTCTAGGGTAAGATGAGCCTTAGTGGGTGAAGCCTTAATTTCCTTAACCCTTGCACTGCTCACCTATTTTCGGCAAAAACGTCTTGGTGCAATTGTCAAGGACATATTTTTGTTATTTTTACAAATGTTCAGGTAAATTTAATGTCAAAATGTTTCCAAAGTCAACTATTTCCATTTCAAAACACAAATAGTAATGAAAACATTAAAAAACATTAAAATATAGCCAAATTAAAAAACAAAGAGCACAACTCTCTGAGCGCCTAAAGGCGCTTTGCGCAGTGCAGTGGTTAAGGCTCGTAGAAGCACATGAGACAAAAAGATTTGAGTGTGAATTGTTCTAGTACTGGAGGGTGTGGGGTATCAGCCACCAGGAGGCCACAACACCGGCTGAGATGCAGTAACAAAAGGTAACCGAGTTTCTCTATACAATTTGTATTCCTTTACCATACCTCTGAGGATAGGATGTCACTAGCTTAGGGTTAATTAATTTACATTATTAAATAAAATTACTGTTAATTTTCTCCTGTGTATTATATATTTCTTCCCTTAATTAATTCTGACATAGATCTTAAATTGATTTGGACTTTACCTGTGATCTTGAGCATTTCATGAGCACATATATTCCCCTGGTAATTCAAGAAGTAAATGTAACAAAATTCTATTCATCCAATAAGTACTAAAAGATTAAATTCCCAAAGTACTCGGTATTTAGTTGACTGGTCCTCCTCCCGAGTCAATTAACCTAATTATTAACCCTTACACTGCTCAGGGGTCCTTGGGACATTTACACCCCTGTGCGCAAGAAAAAAAAAATTCAACAAAATTTGTTCGTCTTCTAAACATGTTAATTTGTGTCCCCTGAGCACGGAAAAAAAAAAAAAAATCGTAGGTGACATATTTTGGGCGCAATTGACCGAGGAAGTCTGGCAAAAAGTGGGCATTGACAGAGCGGTCGTCAGACCCGGTCAGCGTCACCCGCGCTGACAGATGGGAGTTGCCACAAAGATATTATTACCTAATTGTTTCAATGTCTCCAATTGATTTTTTCTTAGTTTTTTTGCAGTAATATTATTCAACAGTGTGTATTGTAATATATTTATATAATAAAAGTGGTGAATAATCGCTATACTCAAAAGTATGATGTGCATATTAGTGATTCAATTATTATGTTTATAAAACAATAAACATAGAGTTTTGCTGCTATTACACTATACACAGGTTATATATAAGTATCTGCATGTTTTGGTCACCATAACGAACCACTAAGTTGGTATTGAGAGTCGAAAAGCAACGAAGAGTTACCGCCACACACCAGCCAGCCACTCGCTGCCACTCCCTCAACACACGCACTAAACTTTCTTCCCCAACAATACCATTTGTGGTGTTATTACACTATATACAGACGTTATATATAAGTATGTATATATTTTGTTCACCACAACTGTACAGCTAAGCTGATATAGTTAGTTCAGGCACTAAGAGTCGTCGCTATACACAGATGGCGGCTGGCGGCTCCCTCACTCTTTCAAGGTCACACGCACTAAACTTTCTCCCCCAACAATACCTTTTGCAGTGTTATTACCCTATATACACATATTATATATAAATATCTACATGTTTTATGCACCGTAACTGTACACCTAAACTTGTAGTGCGCCCAAAGAGCATAGTGGCCACCCTCTAAACAGCTAGACAAATCGTGCAGACGACGTCACCTCCGTCACCCATATGGCTCCTCCCAGCATAATCCTTTTGCTGTTATTACACTAATGCACACATTATATATAAGTATCTACATTTGTGTTCACCATAGAGAACCACTGAGCTGGTATGGTGAATGCCAACAATAACAGGTAGCCACACAGTCAGTAAACGATGCTGTCTCCCTCCATCTCTCAGCATCACTCCTCCCACAGCGCTAATATTATATTACAACAATCCTGCTATTATCACAACCCTGGTTATTTATATCATAGTCATGGGTCATCTGTAATATTTTCATCGCTAAATAATAACAATTATATATTTATTTTGACATTTTTCGGCGATGCTGTGGTCACAAGCTGAACAGCAATGCTGTTCGCTCATGCTGCGTGCGCCGGCCTTGGTTGCTCCAACAGTACTGTGCCTCTCTCACCTGAGAATATTGCCCACGATTTTTTTTTAAAATGGCATCTGTTTACAAGAGCCCTGAGGAAGCTACTGTAAACCCTGTGTAGCCGCGGGCCATTTGAATGAGGCCTGGCACCCTATGGCGTATATATACGACATGCGCACCATGGGACATGTTACTCAGGGCGTATATATACGCCATGCACACCATGGGACATATTACTCAGGGCGTATATATATGCCATGCGCAGTTTAAGGGTTAAAGTTCCAGGAGGAATGGTGGTGGCATTATTTGTTTTATGAGTAATGTTATCTTCCATCTGGACTGTAAGAATTGTAAAGATATCTTTAACACTTTGGTCATTTATCCCTCCCTTTCCCTGATAACTGGATGAGAATTTTTTGCTGCGAGGGTAGACTCTTCCAGTTCTTTGAGGGTTTATTTCATTTCAATTGTTAGAGCCCAAGGGTTACAAGGTATAGCAACTATTACAGCGAGTCGATCATGTTCAACAGTAGTTACAATGGTGACTTCTGCAATTGTCACAACATCCTAACAAAGATACAATAGAAATTAACAAGGAGCCCATGCCATCAATCTTGCTTCTCTACTTTCCATTCTCAACTGATTCCCCACAGTTGGCTGTCAAGGTTCATTTGCTTCATAGTACAGATGCCATATCAAAGCTCACACCATTTTCTTAAACTCATACAATGCTTATTATTGGGGCATAACAGGCCAACCTCTCTTGGTGTTCAAAAAAGAAATCAATAAATGTTTCCAAAGGATACCTGATCAACCAGGCTGTGATTCATAGGTCAGGCTGTGACCAGCCACATCCAACAGTCTGGTTGACCAGACTACCAGCCAGGAGGCCTGGTCACAGACCAAGCCGCAGGGACACTGATCCTCAGAATCACCAGAGGGGAGGTATGGAGAGTGGGGGGGGGGGGGTGGTAATGGGAGTGGGGGTTAGGGTGGTGTGGGTGGAGAGATGAGGGTGGTGGGAGTGGAGAGATGGGGTGGTGGGAGAGGAAAGATGGGAGTGGAAAGATGGGGTGGTGGGAGAGGAAAGATGGGGTGGTGGGAGTGGAGAGATGGGGTGGTGGGAGAGGAAAGATGGGGTGGTGGGAGTGGAGAGATGGGGTGGTGGGAGAGGAAAGATGGGAGTGGAGAGGTGGGGTGGTGGGAGAGGAAAGATGGGAGTGGAAAGATGGGGTGGTGGGAGAGGAAAGATGGGGTGGTGGGAGAGGAAAGATGGGAGTGGAGAGATGGGGTGGTGGGAGAGGAAAGATGGGAGTGGAGAGATGGGGTGGTGGGAGAGGAAAGATGGGAGTGGAGAGGTGGGGTAGTGGGAGAGGAAAGATGGGAGTGGAAAGATGGGGTGGTGGGAGAGGAAAGATGGGGTGGTGGGATGGGAAAGATGGGAGTGGAGAGATGGGGTGGTGGGAGAGGAAAGATGGGAGTGGAAAGATGGGGTGGTGGGAGAGGAAAGATGGGGTGGTGGGAGAGGAAAGATGGGGTGGTGGGAGAGGAAAGATGGGAGTGGAGAGATGGGGTGGTGGGAGAGGAGAGATGGGAGTGGAAAGATGGGGTGGTGGGAGAGGAAAGATGGGAGTGGAAAGATGGGGTGGTGGGGGTGGAGAGATGGGACAGTGGAAGATGGGGTCATGAAGAGAGAAATAGAAGTGGGGAAGTTTGGATTTTTGGTGTTTTTTCATAAATTATGTACTTGTGCTGTGTAAGTCATATTATAAGAACTCACAGTATGTGAGTGTTTACTATATTATTATTATTCTTGAGAAAATCTGTGTATTATTATTATAAACAAAATAATACAAAAATTATAAAAACATTAAATATTTAAGCTTCACCATTTGTTCAATGAAAGTGTGAGGACCTACTAAATGAACACTGATATATGAGAAGTAATAATCAGTTATTATATAATTCATCTCCTGAAGTCTCCCATGACGTACCTCCCATAAGTAGAGTAATACGCTCTGCTTTACAAATACACAAACAAAAAAATATCATTGCAAACTTGATGAAGAAATAACAAAAATATAGACTTCACCTTGTTTGACAGATAAATTTCCAATTTCATTGCACATCGATGATAAGATGATTGATTCTTCTTCTGGCAAGTTTTGTAATTCCTGTATTAACTGGTTAAGGGCAATGGCATCATATCCACAGAGGTATTGAGTGTAATATCTCTGCAACACCTGGAAAACCATATAGTACATAATATTCAGTAATAAATACAGTACCTGACAATTATATTATACTTTATTTCATGTACAGAATCTAAGCCTTACTAAATACAGTATTACAAAATGAATCCAAACTTCAACCCACCTGTGAATACTTCTTAATTAATGCACGTATTTCCTCCATATGAAAAAGAAGTTCAGGCAACTGACGATCAACCAAATCATCTGCTGTTTTACTTTTAACTTTATGAAGGGGTGGGTTCTCATGATGACGAAGAAGCCACAACACCTATTAGTGACAAAAAAATCTTTATACTAATACTATATAAAGAAAACAACAAGTTGAAGATATTATTATAAGAAAGTCAAGTCATAAGGTGTGCAAAACAACAGAAAGATACCTTAATTATGTTGCAACAATCATAGAAATATGTAATTACCTACATACATGTGAGGGAATTACTGCTGGTAGTTTTGTTTGGAAATGTTTTTCTGGGTACCTGGAGAAAACTTAGATTATTGCTGGAAACTATATTTATTTTTCAAACCTGAGCTGACTATTGCTGCAGAAGGATTAATATGCAGAGTAAGTAACAATAATGTGGCTGAAACATTCCAACATTCCAACTCTCACACATGAAACGAAATGATGATGTTTCAGTCCGCCTTGGGCCCATATCAAGCTGTGACTGCAAGAGTGGGAGTTAATATAAAGCAAGAGGGAAGATGAGGTGAAAGGTGATGGCTAATTGGAGAAGTAAAGCATGAAAGCTGAAGTACCAAAACAGTATAAGAAAAACAACAACGTTGAATGTAATGAAACGCCATATTCTGGGCAAGACCCGGAGGCTCCCAGGAGCTATCCAGGCTGAATGGGTATGTATAACTTTCTGGCATCAGTAAATGTGCATGAGTTCTTGCCTACCAGGGACCATGAGCCAGAACCTGGCTCCCTCAGAGAGGCACAAGGAGAAATGGAAACCAAATGAAAACTAGCAAATTAGCATGACATCATCACGTCGCCATGCCGCCACCTGCGCAACCCCCTCTCCCTGGGAGGGGGAAAGGGAGCCCCAGACCCCCCCTGCACCAGTGATCGAACTGGCAGTTCTTAGGCTGGATGTCAAAAATACAAGAAAACACTGCCAACTAGAGGGAGGGAGGGAGGGAGTGTGGGAGGGGAGCCTCCGGGTCTCACCCAGAAAATAGGTGGGACCTAAAATAGGTGAGAAAATGGGTGAGACCTTGGTACCTAAAATTTCATTACATACAAGACTGGTTTTCTGGGGGAAAGCCCCGTCGGCTCCCTGGAGCTACCTCACCAGAGATAAGGAAAAGAGGGAAGGAACAAGGAGGCAGATATTACGTGCCCTAACTCAAAAACAAGATAATTGGCAAACTGAAGGACCCTACAGACGACCCGGGAGACCCAAACCCCAAAACAGGAAGGAAGGGAGGGAACACGGGCAATCCAAAGCGCCCCCCATGGCCACAGAGGCCAAAATGCGAGACGAGCAGAGAGCCACAACCGAACACAACACATTTTGCACCCCTGGCCCGACCAACCAAGCAACAAGAACCCAATGACCCCTCCGGAAAGCAGCAGACCCATTCATCACCAGATAAAAGGAGACTGCCGCAGACGAGCAAAACTACCACCAGGACCAAACGAGCAGAACACCACCAGAGCTGGAGAGGAGAGCCTGAAGCTCCCCAAACCAACTCCCAGAGGCCAACGCCAACAGGGAAAAGACAAAAAACAAAAAAGACCTGAAAAACAACCCGAAACCGAAGAGGCCACGAGAAACCGAGGAGAAGTGAAAAAAGGGATCACCAGGGCCAACGACGGGGATAGCACTGGAGATACATGAGCAGGCCGGAGGTGAAACAACCCACAAGACAGCTGGCAGAACGGGGCAAAAGTAACAAGACCGAATGCAAGCTGAAGTGGCTCTACCAGCGCCACACGATACGAGGCGACAGTATGCATTATATGATAACGGTCCCGGAACAACCATGAAGGGACAAAACAACCTTATCAGAGACCAAATTACACCGACGCAAAGATAGGAAAAGCCAGAAGGACCACCAGGAACTTCAAACTGCCGCCAAGACAAAGCTCAAGGGTGGGAGACCCACATGAAGCCACCTGCGCCACATACAAGTGATGATAGACTTGAGACAGAAATTCCAGATGCGAAGACTCCAGAAGAAGAATGAATCAGCCTTGTACAGGGCAGGACCGATCTGCTGAAAGAGGCAGAGCCACAAGAAGACTCTCGGATTCGGATACCGAGCAAGCAGCACTTGAAACCAAGGCTGGGCCGACCACCAAAGAGCCAGAAGGACAACTCCCCCACCCCCCTGGTAAGTCCCTAAGTGAGCCAGGACCTGAAGCAACTGCAGAACCACCAGGGAACAGTTTGAATGTAGCTAGATTGTCGAGCCGCGAGCAACCCGAACCCTCTGGAGCGACATCCACACAACTGCAGAATGAACGGTAGGTCCATGCAGTCCCATATCGGTGCCGAAAACAGGTGGGAACCCAACGAAGAAACGAGGTGGTTTTGACCACGCCCATGCGAACCCACTCTGAGATGACTCAACAGAACGCAAGGGGAAGAGACCCCCCCCCCCCTTGCAGGAAGAGAAGCTGCCCAACACCACTTCAGGACACACGAAATGACCCAAAGACCCACAATCGTGGGACCAGCCACGAGCGAACAGAGCGAGCCTCCCCTCCCTGATCGCCCCATCAGTGGGACAAATTGCAAAAGGCTGAAGCACCTTACGAGAACCTAAACAGCGTACAGGGCTATCCCCCAGCTGACCAGAAACAGACAGAACCGAAGACTGCACTTGCCCAGAATCTGCCACCACTGGTCTATCACGACAGGAGAACCCCGAGCCCTGGCACGACCCTTCCGGGAAAGCCTCCCACGAGTCCCCCGGAGAACCAACAAACTGGACCGAGGATGGCAACTAGCTGAAGCCGCCTGCAGATACTGTACTGTACAACCGCAGCCTCTGTAAACAGCAGCAAACAAAAAGGGCAAGACAACAGATGAGCCAGGACTCAAGTGGACTCCAAGGAAGCACCGCCTGCCGACATGCAAGTCGAGAAGCAAAAAAGGCCACGAAACCGCATCCCGCATGAGCGGCGCGACCTGCGTTAATAATGGAGACAAAGAACGCACCTCCAAGGACAATGCACCCCAACATCCCGCTGAAGTGTAGGAGCGAACAAACAAGCATTGAGATGCTCAACTTGTCCCCCAGGAAAACCTGCAATGCCATCTGAGCTTCCTCGAGAAGAGCGAGCAGTTCGCCAACCAGGACGACCCTGGAACTTCATAGCGAACCCAGGACAGACACGAAAACATAATTCGAGTCGCGCAGGAGGTAAGCTGCAAGGGACTCCCGCACCATATGAGACGGGACGCTGGAAGCCGAAAACCTCTGGAAGGATGGAACCGAGGAACCTTCGACATCATGGTACTGAACCCGGGTAGGGGAAGATATTAAGTCTAATTGTATGAGGAGGGAGCAAAGAGAACTCCTCTCCTTGTAACACCAAGCCCTGCTCCGAGGGTACAAAAACCCCAGTGGGGTCCAACAGGTCCCAAGACCACCCCAAAGCAACCCCTCCCCCGCCCTGGGAACCTCGCGCCGAGGATCCCGAGTCGAGCTGTCCCCCAAAAACACCGACTTCACAAAAAAAAAAAAAAAAAAAAAAAAAAAAAAAAAAAAAAAAGCCGGGGCAGCCAAAAACACTAAGGAAGGGGCCCCACTGGTCAGACCCATAAACATCAGCAGGAGGAACAGGCTCGAATGCCTCCACAACCACCCCGGAAGGGGCCCCACTGGTCAGACCCATAAACATCAGCAGGAGGAACAGGCTCGAATGCCTCCACAACCACCCCGGAAGGGGACACTCCCGAAACTGCCCGAGTCTCAACATCAATGAGACCCCCGCCCCGCCTCCGAACCCGCTGATGGGGTCAGAGCCGGAAGCCAGGAAAGGGGGAAACTGAACGTACAACAGAAGGGGAAGGGAAGGAAAGGCGGAAAGAACCAAGGCAAAGTGACGCCTCTCCCAAAAACAAAACAAGGGCAGTCTCGGGGCATCCAGGGAAGCAATTAACTCAGCGCGTTGCAGCAAGAGAACCCAGCATACAATGCAGCTGCTGCCTTCACCCTCAGAAAATGATCAATAGCGAGGGTGAACTGGAGCACGCACGCACAAGAAAGTCGCACAACTCCGGGTCAAAAGAATCACAGACCCAACAGGCAGCATGGCAGAGGCACAATTGCCATGTAGTTACAGGTGTAGTTACAGGTGTAACACATGTAGTTACAGGATGAGAGCGAGCGTAGCTCTTATCCTGTAACTACACTTAGGTAATTACAAACAGTGAGTGTCACCCTGAGACAAGGGGACAGAGCAACCTTCAAACTCGCACGAAGCGAGAGTCACATCCATCGGACCACAGAGCTCCCAGGGCCCTTTGCCTTCTTAACATGCCAAGGGAAGCTCAGGCAGGGTACTACGAACTAGCCCCCAAGTCTACCAAGCAAACTTCTAAAAGCTGAACCCCTGGGAAGTGTCCACTCATGGGGGCCTAGCGGGGAATACCACCAATACACAGAAGAATATACACCGACCCCAACAACAGTGAGGGGAGGACAAGGCAGACCCCTTCCCACCCGGCAGGAACAACAAAAACAAAAGAAAAACTCTGCAAGAGAACAATGTACCCAGGCAGAACAGACAACCGCTATAATAGGTGATAACTAGCTGAGCAGTACCCCCGCACCCCTACCGATGACAAAAACTACCTCCTACCCAGAGACAAACATGGGTAACAACCCCAGCTGACCCTAAGGGCAGCCAAGTACCAAGCAGTAAAAGACACAGCGAAGGTAGATCCCAAGGTGACTTGTGGAAGGAGGCCCCAAGGGCAGTACTTACTGGGTACCTAGGGAAGGGAACCCTAGGCGCATGCAGCCCAAGTACCGTGGAATATTACTCCTGGCTCCCACACCCCATGTAGACAGACCACACCATAAGGCACAGAACTGAAACAAAAAAGGCAATGAAACAAAAAAAAGGCAAAAGAGGCACATGACTTCTCCAGAATCGCATCAGCCAAGAACTGGTGGTTCGATTGCAGGCACAGGGGGTCTGGGGCTCCCCCTTCCCCCCTCAAGGAGATGGGGGTTGTGCAGACAGTGGCGCAGCGATGTGATGACATCATGCTAATTTGCTAGTTTTCATTTGAGGAGTTC